GACTTCAGCACGCAGAAGCAGTCTCAGCTAACAGCCAGCGTCTCCCGGGTCGGGGCCCAGAGCCCCACCTATTTACATACAGCACAGAACTCCCACAGAGGGCAGTCCCCCAGCTCACCCCGAGATCCCCATCAGGCTGGCCGAGAAGACGTCCCATCGACATCACAGCCTGGCGGCTCCCCTGATCAACCGCGCCTCCTGCCTCCTCCTCCACTGGCCGTTCTCCCTAACAAACCTGTCGCTGATTAACTCCATCGCAGCGGCTGCTTCCCAGGGGACTCAGATACTAAGAGGATCTAAACCATCTGGGAGAATACTCTTAGCTGCAGAGAACCTTCTCGAACACGGCACACAGCGCTTGTTTGGAGTGGCTTATCTTACTGAGCCAAGTCTGCTTGCTCTGCGCCTCTACAGCCGCACGTCTGCTCTCCGGGCTGGCACTTCATGGGTCATCTGATTCTCTTCCAGTCATGATCACCATCCTACATAACCTTGTCTGTTTCCTGGAGGATCGAGGACTGGCCAAATAAGCAACAGAGAAAACTATTCTTAAAATGTGTTATGAACTCAGTTTAGCTTAATGTGTCCAATGCTAGAGTATTACATGCAATTTTAGCACAGTCTGTTTTCTGGAAGACTCTGGCTGAGGCTTAGCCTTCCTTAGTGATCCCCCAATCAATATGACCCTCACTTCATGTTCAAAAAATACTAAAGAAGAAAAGGCAGCTGTCTGTTAGGGTAGACAGGATTTATTTGGTATCTTCAAAAACCAATCTGAGAAAATTTTCCACTCACTGATTTTAGCTGAGCCACCGAGAAAACAAGAAAATCCTTCTGCAAAATTTTCAATAAGATGATATTATCTAAAGACTTGAAGCGTGAAACCTGGATTACAACAGCTGACCAACAAACCAGAATGTAATGCCTACAAAAGCTAAGTAAAAACATAAAAAGTGTAACTATATAAAATTTATTTAAGAACTGGAGAAGTATTTCTGTAATCTGACCATGTATAAAGAATATACATATGCAAGAGTAAACACAACTCCAGCCTACGGAAAATATGAAGAGTGAAAACACCTAGCTCTCAATTCTGTTCACGACACTATGGCTTGTAGATGTCCTCCTTCTAAGTTATACAAGAATGACTCTTTAAAGCTCTTACATGTTAGCATACTACAGAATAAAGTTTTCTAAAATGAAACATGGATTCAAAGTTACAGACTTCTCTGACTGCAAAACTTCATGCCTAATCGTATGTTAAGCAAAGAATTACACGTAACTCATGAAGTCATACCATCACTGAATCGTGGAAGCCAAAAGGCAGGCTTCGCCATCAATTCCAGACATGGAGATTCACGGTGCTGAACAGCAAGCATGGCCACCAATCACGCCCCTCCCTACACACAACACCAGCAACAGGACTCGGCCGTCAGGAGGCACAGTTCATTCAGCCACCTGGTGGATGTGCACGAGCTCCTGGCTTGCTCTGGCCAGAAACAGCAGAAAACAGGATAAACGCAGAGGCCCAAAAAGCCTCCTACTTGGGAGCTGCCCCTTCTACCATCATTAAACTCGGTGGTGCAGCGGGGAAGCCGCCGCCTGCAGTGCCGGCACCCCACAGCGCACGAGTTTGAGGGCTGCTCCACTGCCCATCCAGCTCTCTGCTGTGGCCTGGGAAAGCAGCAGGAGATGGTCCAAGTGCTTGGGCCCCTGCACCCACGTGGGAGATCCAATGAGGCTCCCGTCTCTGGGCTTCAGCCTGGCCCAGCCCTGGCCACTGGGGCTATGTGGGGAGTGAGCCAGCGGACGGAAGATTTCTGTCTCTGTAACTCTATCCAATAAATAAATAAATCTTTAAAAAATAAATAAACAAACAACTTCCACGATCCCTACTAGAGCAAGCACCGGAGACAGAGGCTGTGGTGGTCCCAGTAAGACCACGTGAACCAGCCGCAGTCCGTCTACCACTGACCACAGACAGAGTGGCCCCAGCTAAGATCAGTGGTCCCAGCACAGGCAAGAAAACTCAGCCAGCCGAGCCCAAACTACCGTCCAGAGAAGGAACTGAGATGGCGGCTGTTCTCAGCTGCTCTGTGGGTGACAGCAGACAGGACAGCAGTAACCGACACACTCACCCACAGCCCCTGCCTGCTTAGAGTTGTGCTGTAGCCTTGAGCTAAGGTGCACACAAGCACCAGTGTGGGGAAACCACGGTTCTGTCAGCATTTGTGCGGAGACCACAGTTCTACAAGACAGCCCACAACAGATCCTGACATAACAAGGGCGGCAAGAGAGCACTTCACAGAGGACGGAAATAAACATGGAATCCCGAAAATCTGCGTGAAAATGAGGGACTACACCCTGAAAGAATACTCTCTATTGATTTAAATTCCCGAGACACAGTGCTAAGAATGTTATACTACTGCAGTTTTAATGATCTATGATTGCTTTAAAATGTACTATGTATGGGGAAATGGTCATTTTTCCGTTCAATTACTGTATACAGCTCTTGTCTATATCCCCACTAAACTCGGGTTTTTTTTGTTGTTGTTGTTGTTGTTGTTGTTGTTTTGACAGGCAGAGTGGACAGTGAGAGAGAGAGACAGAGAGAAAGGTCTTCCTTTTCTGTTGGTTCACCCCCTAGTGGCCGCTGCGGCTGGTGAATCACGCTGATCCGAAGCCAAAAGCCAGGTGCTTCTCCTGGTCTCCCATGGGGTGCAGGGCCCAAGCACCTGGGCCATCCTCCACTGCACTCCCAGGCCACAGCAGAGAGCTGGCCTGGAAGAGGGGCAACCGGGACAGAATTCGGTGCCCGACCAGGACTAGAACTAGTCTATTGAGCTGTTTTTGCTTTTTACTCATTAACCTTCTCATTCAGTGAACCAATCAGCATTTTTACTGTAATGTGAATTCCAAATGTGTTATCTCAAAAGTAAAAAAGGGAAGAGGAACAGTGGGAGGGAGAAGGGGAAAGACAGGAAGGGCGTGTCACTGTGTTCTTAGAGCCGTTTCAGGGAACCATGTTTACTCTGTGAGAAAGGACTTTAACAAAAAAAAATCTTTTAAAACAAAAAAATTAAAAATTAAAGAATTTATTAAAGAATAAATGTCGGGAGGCCACTGAGTCACGTGGCCAGGGACCCGAACCCGAACCTATGTGGCGAATCCCCAATAAAAACTCAGACATGCACGGCCCCATCCCTGCGGACAACACGCACTGATGTCCTGAGAGCCCAAGTCCTGAGGACACAGCAGCTTTGACCTTCGGGGCTCTCCTAGACCTCGCCCAGTGGGGCTACCTCTTTGGTCCTGATTCGCACCATCTATTAAAAAGCGACAGTGCCCCGCAGGGTGCTTCGAGTTCTGTGAGTCACTGCAGAACACTGTCAGGCCAGAGGGAGCGGCGCAAACTTCCCAGCTGCCTTTAAGGGCAGGCCGCCTGGAAGCCGGAAGGCTGCACCTGGTGTCTAAGGAAAGGGCAGCGCCCGTCCCCTGCCCAGCTGGCCTAAGCGCAACTCAACGCCAAAGACGTCCACAAAGCAGAAGACACCCCTCCCCCATGCCACTCTGGCTGGAGATCTCTGACCCTAACAAATCTCGCTTTTAAGTCTCAAAAAAAAAAAAAAAAAAAGCAGGAGGGGGTGGTGTCTGGTGCAACACGGAGACATGACTGAGGACATCTGCACGTCACACCGGAGCACCCGGGCTCTCGTCCCAGCGCCGCTGCCAATTCTGGGTTTCTGCAAGCGCAGACCGTGGGAAGCACCCCGTGACGGCTCAACTGCTTGGTCCCTGCCACTCGCATCAGAGATCAGGATTCACCTCCCGGCTCGCAGCTCTGGCCTGGCCCAGGCCTGGCGGTTGTGGGTGTCTGGGCAGTGAAGCAGCAGATGGGAGATCTCTCTACGCCTTTCAAATAAATTAAGTAAATAAAAACTTGAAAAGAAGAAACAAAGTTCATCAAAAGCAGTAACCAGAGTTGGAATACTCACAGGAGCATGGTCTCATGGAACCAAAAAGGAAGGGGAAAAACGTAGCACAGCCAGGAGGAAAGCAGGGACGGTGACAGAATCCCTGGGGGAGACGACAGGGCCGGCGAGGCGTGTCCACCTCACCAGGAGAAGTCACCCTTCACTCAACTGCCTACTAATTACCTGCTACGTACACTTCGTCAACAACTCAGCTTGTGATCTTACCATACACTAAAAAGAGCAAATTCCTGGGCCGGCACTGTGGTGTAGTGGGTAAGGCTGCCACCTGCAGTGCCGGCATCCCATCTGAGCACCAGTTCAAGTCCCGGCTGCTCCACTTCCCATCCAGCTCTCTGCTGTGGCCTGGGAAGGCAGTGGAGGATGGCCCAAGTCCTTGGGCCCCTGCACCCACGTGGGAGACCCGGAGGAGGCTCCTGGCTTCGCATCGGCACAGCTCCGATGCACCTAATACTTAAACATTTATTCATTTCTCAAATTCAGGTTCACCCTTAAGACAGGGTTAAAGCAATGCATTTCCTCGACCAGAGCAGGGAGTGTTCGGCCGGCCAGCCACAGAGACCTGCGAAATCATTCGGCCTGGCCTTGCCAGGCAACCACAGAGTAGGACTCGAAATTCAATAAGCCTGCGGCAGGTTAACTTTTAAGATGGTAACTGTATGACCCACGAATGAGGTTATAAACACCCAAGTGGCCCTCTGCAGAAAAAGTGTCCCCACCTCTGAGTAACAAGAATGTTTCTGAAAACTCAAAAACGCTCGTCAATCACCAGAGGTGACACCTTGACTTGGGCAAGAAAAAGCCTGCAGCGACAGTCAGACATCTCGTCAAGACACAGGAGTCCATAACGAGAGTTCTGACCCTGTTAGAAAAGATGGACTAATTGTGAGGGTATTTATTGATGGACTAATTGTGAGGGTCTTTATTGATGGACTAATTGTGAGGGTATTAATATAAAATGCCCTAAAAAGTGTTTCCAAACGTAGTCTATCGATGAAAATCTCTTACCTGTACTCGTCCAACCGCACCAGGAATCGCACGATGTCATGGTGAGCTTTCAGCACCAGCAGCTCGGTGTAGGGGTTCTGGGTTTGCTCTTCACCTATTGACTGCAAGGGAGACTTCTTGTGATGGAAAAAACAAAAAAGAGATGACTTACAATAGGAGACCACACTGGATATAACCACATGATACACATCTAAGAATATCCGTTTTAAAAGCTACAAAATATCACGTTCTAACACTAAGTAGTATTTCCTGGTAAGCTGCCAATTCCACGTAAACACCCTCAACACAAATTCAGGCAAGAAATGTCAGTTCTCTCAAGTCACAGATTTACAGAAAGGGTGAACTTCGTTTCAGCGAAGACTTCTTACTGAAACACTCAAGGGGCCGGCACTGTGGCATAGAAGGTAAGAATCCACCTGCAGTGCCGACATCCCATGTGTGCACCGGCTGCTCCGCTTCCCAGCCCAGCTCCGTGCTAACGCGCCTGGGAAAGCAGCAGAGGGTGGCCCAAGGGCTTGCGCCCGAGAAATCCACATGGGAGACCCAGAAGAAGCGCCCGGCCCCTGGCTTTGGCCTGGCCTAGTCCCAGCTGTTGTGGCCATTTGGGGAGTGAACCAGCAGATGGAGGACCTCTCTGTCTCCTTCTTTCTCTGTACCTCCCCCTTTCAAATACATTTTATTAAAAATAAAAAAGCAAAGGAAAAGAAAATTTTTTAAATCTGACTTAAAAATTAATGAGCTGGCGGGCCGGCGCCGTGGCTCACTTGGTTAATCCTCCACCTACAGCACTGGCATCCCATCTGGGCGCCGGGTTCTAGTCCCGGCTGCTCCTCTTCCAGTCCAGCTCTGCTGTGGCCGGGAGTGCAGTGGAGGATGGCCCAAGTGCTTGGGCCCTGCACCCACATGGGAGACCAGGAGAAGCACCTGGCTCCTGGCTCCGGATCAGCACAGCACCAGCCGTGGAGGCCATTTGGGGAGTGAACCAACGGATGGAAGACCTTTCTCTCTCTCTCTTTCACTGTCTATAACTCTGTCAAAAAAAAAAAATCAATGAGCTGGCATTGCGGCCGATTGGGGAGTAAGCCTGTGGATGGAGGATCTCTCTCTCCCTCTCTGTCTCTCCTTCTCTTTGTAACTCTTTCAAATAAAATATCCCTTAAAAAACAAAACAAAACAAAACAAAAAAAAACTGATGAGCCGAGGCCGGAGCTGTGGCACACTAGGTTAAGCCTCCGCCTGCAGAGCCCACATCCCATACGACTGACAGTGTCCCGGTTGCCCCTCTTCCAGGCCAGCTCTCTGCTGTGGCCTGGGAGTGCAGTGGAGGATGGCCCAAGTGCTTGGGTCCTGCACCCCAGGGGAGACCAGGAGAAGCACCTGGCTCCCGTGGGGATGAACCAACGGAGGGAAGACCTTCCTCTCTCTCTCTGTCTCTCTTTCACTGTCTGTAACTCTACCTATCGATAATAATAATAATAAAATTAAATTACAAACAGGGTGCCCACACCTTACACTGGAGTGCTGGCTGGACTCGCAGCCCCGTTCCTGGCTCCAGCCCTGTGCGAGGACAAACCCGGGAGAAAGCTCCGAGGGCTCAAGCCGCGGGCTCCTGCTACCCGGGGGGACCTGGGCTGAGCTCCCGGCTCCCAGCTCCAGCCTGGCTCTCAGGCACACTTTCAACACATAAATAAAAGAAGCCCGTCTTGATGACCCAAGGCGGGGAGGAGGGGCAGAGAGGAAGCCAGGACGGGGCAGAGCAGGACGCGCAGGCGCAGGCGGAGGCGGGCGCGGGCCGAGGGCCGCATCGCAAGTGCAGCGGCTGGGACTCGAACCGGCGCCCATGTAGGGTAAAGTAAAAATCAAAAAAATTACAAATATACCTCAGCTGCAAACTGGAGGAAGTGACGGCCGGGCAGGCGGGCGACGCGCCAAGCTTCCTGCTCAGACGGCGCGAGCGAGCCCGCCCGCCCTGACCGCCCTGACCGCGGGACCCTACCCCCTCGGGGCCTGCGACTTCACGCACCAGGGACGCGGGCAGCGGGGCCAGGCCCCGCGGCCGCGAGGGGCGCCCCTTACCTCGGCCAGCCCCGGGGGCTCCCGGCCGCCCCCGATCAGCCAGCGCAGCATGCGGGCGGCGGGCACTCGCCGACGCGCACTCGCGCCGCCCGGGGACACGGGACACGGGCGCGGGCGCGGGGCCGGACTTCGGGGCCGGACTTCGGGGCCGCAGCGGGGCCGGACGCAGGCCGCGGCACAGGCGGCGGCGGAGCCCGCGAGCGAGCATGCGCGGCGCGGCCCAGGCCGACGGCGTCTCGGGCGGCCCCTAGCGGGCGAGCGCGGCGCAGCGCCCGGGGGCGAGGGCGTGGGCGGCGCGGCGTGCGTTACCGCGTGGGCGAACCGGCGGGGCAGCCACCGGGTGCAGGGGCGTGTGGGCGCCGGCCGACAGGGCCCGCGCCGGGGCTCTGCGTGAATGCCCGCGGGGGCGCCTGCACCTGCTGCCCTGGATCAGGAAAGCGCAGCCCCGAGCCAGCCGGCCGGCCGTGAAGCCGCTGCCCTGCGCTGGACGCAGTCTGCCCCGATGCACACCTCCAGAGAGCGGACGGCCGAAGGACGCGGGGCGCTTCCTGCCTTCCGCCCCAGACCGCGGTCTGCCTGGGGATGCCCTGCAGGATGAGGGGAGATGCACCGGGCCGGCTCGTGCGCGGCGTAGATCTGACTTAATTTCCATGAGTACTTGCGAGGCCCAGCTGACGCTGCTGCCGTAAATTATTTTAGACAACTACCAAAAATGCCCCCCAAATGCCAAAAAAGCCCCAGCCAGGGCGTTAATTTCACAAACATGTACTAGACAGATGCAACAGAAATGCAAAAAACTGACTGCGTAACATTGCTGCTGTCTCGGAACAAGGCAGAATGCTCTATGCATCGACTAGAGGGCCGGACGTCCTGCTTTGAGACAGAGGATGGGGCCGCCGCTGTGGGGTAGCGGGTAAAGCCGCCACCTGCAGTGCCAGCATCCCATGTGCAACCCGGTTCTAGTCCCGGCTGCTTCACTTCCCATCCAGCTCTCTGCTGTGGCCTGGGAAAGCAGTGGAAGATGGTCCAGGTCCTTGGGCCCCTCACTCATGTGGGAGACCCCAAAGAAGCTCCTGGCTTTGGATCAGCCCAGTTCTGGCTGTTGCAGCCATTTGGGGAGTGAACCAGCATATGGAAGACCTCTCTCTCGCTCTCTCTCTCTGTAGCTCTGCCTGTCAAATAAATATGTTAAAAAAAAAAACAAAAAACAAAAAAAACAGGTTATAGTAGACGCAGGCGTCTGGTGCAGCTGGGATGCCAGAGTTGAGTCCTGGTTCTGCTTCTGGCGGAGCTTCCTGCTGGGGTGCAGAAGGCAGACGATGGGTCCCGCACCTGAGGCCTTGCCACTGGCGTGAGACACCCAGGGTGAGCTCCTGAGTTCTGGCTTACGGCTTCAGCCTGGTCCAGGCCTGGCCGTCTGCGGCACCGGGAGCTAACTGGCAGAGGAGCAGTCGGAGGCCTGGCTGCCCTGTCTCTGCAGTGGAGCGCTACCGGAGGGACGTGGAGAAAGCTGGAGAGACGGGAGGCGCCGGATCTCTCTCCACCCAGCCAACGGTGATGCTGCCCACTCTGCCGCGGCTGTTTCGGAACTCCGAGGCGAGGCCGCCTTAAAGGCCCGCAGCTCCCAGTGTCAGCCCCTCCCACTCAGCAGTGCTCAGAGGGCTGAAGGGAGCAGGGCCTGCTGGACGTCCCTAACTGAAATTAAAAAAAAATCCACTGGAAGTATTCGGAGCAGATCTGAGTCGAAAGAAAAAGCATCAAAGACAATCGAAATGATCAAGTCTCAGGACTCGAAGAGCAAGGACAGTGAGCAGGCCCTAAGGGGCCTGTGGGACACCCACTCAGATCAAGATGTGAACGTGGGAGTCTCGGGAGGCCAAAGAAAGGAGGAAAAGTACTGTTTGAGGGAATAATGGCTGAAAAGTCCCACCTTTGACGAAAGAAAGCAATCTGCAAATCCAGGAAGTCAGTAACCACACGCTGAGATGCACAATCAAACTGTTGGAAAAAGAGAGAAAAGTCTGCAAACGGAAGGGAGAGCAGCTCCTGACGTCCTGCGCGGCTCCTCAGCCGGGTGATCTACAGCCTTGCCATCGGACAGCGCGGGGGAGGGGAGGCCGCCATCGGACAGCGCGGGGGAGGGGAGGCCGCCATCGGACAGCGCGGGGGAGGGGAGGCCGCCATCGGACAGCGGGGAGGAGGGGAGGCCGCCATCGGACAGCGCGGAGGAGGGGAGGCCGCCATCGGACAGCGCGGAGGAGGGGAGGCCGCCATCGGACAGCGGGAGAGGGAGCCCGCCATCGTACGCGCGGAGAGGGAGGCTGCTCATCGGACGCCAT